ATATATATATATCAACTTAACTAGTGAGGAAAAACAGGCAAAAACAAATGGTAAATCTCTCAGCTGGGTCATCCATCCGTCACTACTCTGTCGTGTTCCCAAACCACTCAAACAAAGGAACGGGAAACAAATTTGACCTGCCACAGATGAACGGGTGTAATCAGGACTTAGTACTGTAACTTACCTTTTCAACGGATGAACTGCCCTTACACGTCTCAAGGTAACGAACTGCCCTGTTTTCCTCTTCTTTTAATTTACCATCAGCCTAAAAAAATTATAATGAGAATATGATAAAAACAAATTTTTATTATTCTAGTGAAAAAAAAACAAAAAACATAACATAAAAAACATTAATGGGCATAGTATTACGACATCTGAAAACAAAAACATAAATAATATTGCACCAGAATCAACAGCTACTGGAACTTTTCAACATTCCAGCTGAAAACACAAGAGCAGCAGCAACTGAATTGACCTTTCCATAGAGTCAACTGAACTTCACAACCGACCAATCAGAAAAGACCAGGAATATGTGTGTGTTTAAAAATACACAAACACATGTTTTACACTGTCATTTTGTGGGAACTTTGTGACAATATAAATGGAATGGGGCATAGTAGAAATGTTCATTCAACCAGGATCTCCTGGTTCAGCACACACACACACACTGTGGCTACAACCAGTTTAACCCAAACCAAGCTAAGTTGCTAGTTCATACGTTAAAAAAAGTAGTAGCAGTATACCACTGCGTGTACTTACATACTTCATGTAGTTCTGAACTCCATTGTCAGCAAGATATGCATGAGCGTGGGTCTTGTAAAATCTCTCTGTTGCATCTATATAAGCCCTCTCAAAATTTTCTCTGTATATTTGTAACCGGTCTTCAAAATTTGAGCTTAAGTTAACTGAAAATAAAATGCATTAACATTCTATAACTATAAGAGGCCTACAAATTTTTGGCAGATAATATTTTTTGAACAACTAGTGTCTACCAGGTCACTTTTGCTAATTAACTTGCAAACCTATATGATGTAAGTGAAGATACTCTAATTTAATTCAAGATAATCTACACCAAACTAAGCTTGGTTTGGTCAATAGAGACCATATTTCCAAGAGTGATAACAGTATATACAGTTTATAATTTGAAGATACAGGTAGTGTAAAAACCAAATCAAATCAAATCATTCTTTATTGCAACTCACTAAGAGGGTTGAATTTCACAAAAGTAATAAATCAAGCAATCAACATTGAAAATAAACGACAAAAAGGACTAACATCACGAAAACAGCAAAAAGATACAAAAAGATGAAAGGTAAAAAAGGCAACCGAATACATTGTAATTATAAAATGATGGTCTGTAAATCAGAAATAATAAGTTGTTACTTCTTATCTTGGTAATGTTAGAGGATTCTCTTTAGTTGAGATGTTTGTGTGATTCTGTTAGGTGAGATATAAGATTTTACATTTGGAATTCCAAAACAAATACTTGAGTATTGAGTATCTTTGCTCAGCAAGGAACATTTGTAAATGCTTGCTTGAAAAATGTTTAATGTTGTAAATTATACTGAATGTATGCTATGTATCAAAGCAGCAATGAAAGAAATAAAATACAGAATATGCAACATATAATAACATTTACAATAATTCAAAACTGGTAACTTAAATAATAAACAACAAAACCATTGAGTTCCATTTTTAGGAATATTAGTTTACCATAAGACTCTCTAACTCCAATCACTAGCTGTTTATCGAAGGCTTCTCCATTTCGCTCGGCAACCACAAGCTTCATAGCACTGCTCTGTAACCTTTGTTTGACTATGAAGAAAATATGACAATTCCAGCTGTCCAACATCAACTGAAAATAAAATACAATAATAATAATAATAATAATTAATAATAATAATAATTTTAATAATAATAATAATAATAATAATAATACTGTAATAATAATAATAATATGCACTGTGTTATTTTACCCTTAACATTGTTTTAGTAACATAATAATAACAACAACAATAATAATAATAATAATAATAATAATAATAATAATAATAATAATAATAATAATATTATAAATAATTTTAATAATAACATTGATGATGTCACATATTATTATAAGAGAATCTGCAGTAATCTGTGGAATCAAAAATCAAAATGTGGAACTAATTCCCTATTCCAATGATAAATTAAAGGTCATTTTTAGTATTTCAACCCACTTAATAGTGGAACCAATTTGCTGCCTGCAAATATAGGGCATCCAATATTTCAATATCCACAATTCATAATCTGAGGTTTGTTAATTCCAAAATGATTTAACATTATATTCATAGACAATCATAAATATAAACATAATTATGTATTAATTGATTAAATAACTAGTATACTATCATTTCAGAGATGTAGTTAGCTTTGAAGTTTTCCACTAAGTCTACAGCAATTTCATGGCATTCATTCCACCTTTATTAACCAAATTTTCAATCCTTAAAGTCCACACCTATTATTTAGTGTTTACCAATGTTATCATCTTCCACCCACCCTTAAAATGTTTATCACCCACCCCAAGTTTCTACAGTTACAGTACAACTCTGCATTTTTAATATTTATCTATTATTCAATATTGCCTTGTAAAAGAATCAAGAGATGATTCAGCATACCTTACGAACGATACTGTCCTCTGTTTGTGATGCTTTCTTTTGAGACGAACTAGTTTTTTTGTTGCTTAGTGAGGTTTCTAATTGTCCAAATGGTTTAGGTAAGTAGCCACATTGCGTGAAAAACTTTCCCCACTCCTTTATATATGCTTTCAAAAGGGCGGAGTCATCCTGATCTTGTAAAACACGCTGACAAAAAAATTACAACGTATAAAGAATATATAATTGAAATTGACAGCTTACACAGTGGTTCACATTTTTAATTAACCCTCCAGAAAATAAAAAATACTGGTAATACTTTATAGATCAACTTCAATTATTTATTACACAATCTTTTTCCAGCAGTCTATGCTGGCTTCATCAGGTGCAGTATTTCCTGGAGTGGTTACTGTCCACTAATGAGATTAATAAAAATAAATAAAAATAAACACATAAATAAATTCTTCCTTCTACTGTGTGCAAGTTTACTGTTTACTCTTCGTCCAAATAGGTATTAATATATTTGTTTAGGTTTAAAATTATGAAGTATTTGGTGCAAATATCAGTGACGGATCCAGAAGTTTGAAATAGAGGGGGCCAGAGAGAGATTTTGACAGATGGAGGGTCTATACCACTTCAGGCCACCATGGTTTGGGCTGAGGTAAGAAAATTCATGATTATGGCACCTTCAGATGGCCGAAAATGGCACACTTGACTCAAAATTTTAGTAGAATTGTCTTTTTTTCCCCCCCTTTTTTTTTAAGGGTGTGCCTGGGCCCGCTAGGGCATCCCCTTAAATCCGCCACTGAATGTTGTGGCTTAGACATTGGATATTCAAAACTCTTGCTGTGCAAGTCACGATATGCAATGCGCTGATTACAAACAACCATACAGTAGGGAATTGAGTATGTGCTCCTAAGCTTCATTATCATGACTGGGGTGTTGCTTGTTGCTGTTACTTTTTTGTTGTTGCTTCTGTTGTTGTTAATGTTATCATTACGAAGTTAGATTAATGTGAATTTGTACATTACACAATGATATTTTGTTTCTATGTTTTTTTATATTTGTTGAATAAAAAATGAAAAAAAAAAAAGAGATACTATCAAAGACTGAGTGCAAGTTACCTGTTTAGCCTGCTTGATAAAATCAATGATATCATGCTTCAGTTCATCATGCACTTTTTCAGGTCCCTTGTCATCCCATAAACAAACAGAATGCACATCCCTGTAAGCAAATCATGCACAAATTGTAATTATACTATATTTATATTATTTAGTTATTAGTTTTGGAAGCTGATTTCAACATTTGGAAACATACATGAAGTCGTATTATAGTAATTCAATGCCTATCAAATAAGTAATAAAAATTTGTGAAATATCCGTGTGGGGCCCTATGTGGCCCCCTGGCCCCAGCACTCGCCTAGGGCCCCCGTCGGGGCGTTTAGCCCCTCCGTCGGGCAAATCCTGGCACCATCACTGAGTGAACAGGGGTAATAACACTAAACACCTTTGATCATTCAATTTGGAATTGGCGCTACTATATAAATATTCGTGTATCATTATTATTAATTATTATTACTTATATCTACTATATCAACTTTACCATTGACTTTACAAGGTCAAAGTGACAAATTTTGGAAGTGATAATTTTAATTGTTACTGTCAACAGAGGAAAAAGGGTTGAAGAGTGCAAGATTGACAATAGGTTAATCATTTCTACTCAGTGTAGGTAGGCTACAAACAGAAGTGTCCCTATGCTCTATACAGGTCCCTCCATTACCCCTAATTCTTAATTCATATCATATACAAATTATACATTATAGGTTGGTGTACACATCATTAGCTTTTATATGATATAATTTTAGTTCTTATCACATTCACAATCCTATTAAAGTTATTCATGAATAAATAAGGTGATCGATCTATCTGTAAAGAGTGCAATTTGGCAATATAGGCCTGTTTACACTATGACGATAACGATCAAACGATAAAAAGCTAAAAAGCAATTGTTCATTGAAAAATAAGAGAAATAAGTTTTCACAGTAACAGTGGCACAATTTAATAACGATTTATCGTGTACACGATACAAAATATTTTCACACACCAAATCAAATAACCTCATAATCATGGGAAAACGTTTTCCAATGATTATGACATAATTAATCTCTTCTATTACTATTATTATTGATGCTTATCTCTTTTAAAGAGACACATCAACACGGTCAGTTTCAATAGTTCTTTGGCAGCCGCATGCAAAAAATTAAAAAACAATTGAAACAGGCATATTAAAAAGGTCTTGTAAGACATTTTCCAATTAAAGGATTATTCAAAATAACTTTTTACAGTAATTAACATTGAGGTACATTAAACACAAATACTGTAAATATCTTAAGAATTTAATCAAGCTTAGTACCTACAGTACAAAAAATGTGTAAAACAGAAGGAGGAAGTCCTTTGTTAATTTAGCTAATGTCCTCAACTTAACCTTTGAAATTTCATTTAAATTAGTTGTTCAAATGCACTTTTGAAACTGAAACCCTTCCTAAACTTGACACTTATTAACAAGAGCATCAACGATGCTGTAGCCAACTCGACAACGGCGTCGTTTAAGCATTGTCGGTGGTGGGAGTTGGTGTGGTTGTGGGGTGTGTGTTGTTACTGTACATGTTTTGTTTATTAAAAACGTTTAACTGAAGTTACAGTATTGTAGTTATATCGTATGCAACATCATGGGCTTGACAAATTACCTGTATATTATTTTGATTCAACTGTTTGGAAAGGTAATATTTAGTATTATAGATTGATGGGTGGGTTTGCTGGACCCTAAAATGTGATGCAATCTGTATACAATATTGTATTATAATATTTGTAAAAAATAATGTTGATCTCATAAGGGTTGTTGTGTATGTAAAAATATGTTGTTTTTATACCATTTACGCCAAAGATGTTTTAAAACCAGATTTTTGCGTGGGCCAAGACTACTACAGTATGCAGCCCTTGGTAAAATATTACATTATTTTTGTAATGATGTAGGCTTTATGGAAACTGACGAAAAACCAGGGAGATTGAGGGAACCTATAGTAAAAATATTACATTATATTTGTAATGACGTAGGCCTTATGGAATCTGACGAAACCAGGGAGATTGAGGAAACCAATAGCTATACCACAGTGTGGATCATAATGGTCGCCCATAAGTGTCACGGCAAACTTCAAACAAAACATCACAGCAAATTTTATTTTCAGGTGAAACATCCAGGCAAATTTCATTTTCAAATGAAACATCAATGCAAGCACCACGAAACGACTGTACATATCGCTATTAACTAGACTCAACGTAGACGCATTATTAGCCGTAAAGCTTTACCATTCCAGGCTAAGATTGGTTGATATACACAAAAACGGAATATAGAGGCGATTTGCAATCTGATCAATGTCAAACACGTTTTCATATAAGAAGCCCATTCCAGTGGTAAGAAATATGATATAAAAATATACAATTTCACATATTTCCCCACAATATTTTCTCAAAAACTCTTCATACTTTACATTTCCCAAGCTTCCCTACCTGTATCCAAACTATCACAGGCCTTAAATTTAACCAAGGTCACCAAGGCCAAATGCCACTGGTGCCCTCCCAATTGGCTTGTACTGTATGCCCTAGAAAAAATACCTCTGTTGAGGCTAGCTTGACCCTGCTGCTCTAAGAAGGCAGTAGTGAGCATTCGCATCAACGACGGATGCACTCCATCTGACACAAAAATTGATCTGCGCATGCACGACCCCCGCAGCTTCTCGTTCTTGGCAAAATCACGACCTGTTTTTGGCCAATTTATCATCCGTAGAGAATCACGAATGACTAGCTCACGCAGCCAATCAGCGCTCTTTAGAGATACCAAGCAGCCAATAAGCACTCTTTAGGATATCTAATAAAGAGGGCATGTGTCAGCTTAACGATGTCACGCACTACCGTTTGTTCTTCAATTGCGAAACTGCGAATGATCAGAACACGGACGAGTATCAAGGACGGTCACAGTTCGTTGCTTTTAGTCCTAGAGGACGTCCGCACTGCTTTTGCGAAAGCTCACTATTAATACATTTAAATGTTACTTTATGATACACTAGCATTGATGTCCTTTTTATATCAATAGTGCCTTTAGTAATAATCATGACAAAAAACGGACTTGCCCCTAAAAAAGCCCAAAATTGAGGCTTGCTATCACATGTTATTTGACAAAAACTTATGACTAGCCTAAATATGGTCATGATGACATCACATAATGACCAAATATAGGCACATTATGACTATATATGGGCATACTACAGTTTTTTTAGATGTTTGACCCAATAATACAGATTACTGACCAGAATAGGTCTTGCCATTCAGTCCTTGGTACATCTTGCTGGCGTAGCAATTTCAGAACTGTAGGTCGCATTGAATCCCATTTGTCTTCAAATGTGAGATGAGCCTTGTCCTGATACAAAAGACACAAAAGAAAAATAAAGTTAGCAAGTTCAACAAACTTGGAAAAATATGGGTATATTAATGAAATAGAGGGGCCCAGGGAGAAACTTTTACAGAGGGTCTAGCCCACAGGTGGGCAATGTGCGGCCTGTGGGCCACTTGTGGCCTGACGGTGACATTTTTGCAGCCCACAAAAATAAATTAAGAAAACATATGCGCAGCCCACCAACCATCTTTGGCTACAAATCATTTTGCTTTTACAGTTGATGTAAATGTTTATTAACGAGTGTTACTGGTGCATGTTCATTTAAAGTCAGACTCCGGAGGAAAAAAATTGTTTGATATGTTGTAGATCTGATTTTTCTACGACAGAAAAAAGTTGTTTGACAAAGATCTGGGGAACGGTGAATGAGATACAAATTTTTGAATATTTAAAAACTGGGGGGGAAAAAGGTGCAAAATTGGGCGGTTACGCCCCTTTTCCCCCAGTTTTTAAATAAAGGTGTTTTTTATGGTCGGGTAACAAGATTTTTAGGGACCCACTTTGTCTGTGGTCAAGTGTTTTTAGAATAGGCTACATGTAATGCATAGGCCTAATGCTTTTACAATACTTAAGAAAAGTCAGACTCTTCACAACACGCAACCTGTCAGCGCACAAAGAGATCAAACAGAAAACCAACTATGGTTTCCGTGCGAATTTGAACTAGGCCCTAGATTTTGCATCCTCCGCGAATAAAAGTCCGGGCAAGTTAGTATTATAATTAATTACAATCTGCCGTAACAGGTACGAGCATAGGATATGGTCGCCCAAATTAACGTCATAAAACACAGTCCCGACTCCATGGTTAGAGCAGAATGCCTGGGAATCAATCATGCCTGGGATTTTATTTTAGTTGCACACTACGGCTTTTAAACATGCAATAAGAAAACGCAATTCCTTATTGAAAAGAGGATTAGGGCTCTGTGAATTAATGTTAATATTTTTGTTAGAATAACATATAATTTAATAAATTTAATACAGTATAAATGTATTGACTGAAGTACTTTATGAATACTATGCTAGAAGTTGAATGGTTATAGTAATAATAATAAATGAAAAAAAAAACAACTTTACTTTCATGTTTTATATTTTTTTAATGATTATTGTGCAATAATATTGGGCCGGAGAAGTAAAATTCTATCTGTTAAAAGCATCTGGAAACCAAATTTGATGTGGACTAAAATGTATCTTGTACAGTATCTTGTACTGTATTCCTCAGGACAAGGTATTTGTCCTGGGACAAGTGAAAAAATATGAAATTCCCTCATGCCTGACCATACATGTTTACAGTAAATTATACCAACAGCGAGTCAAAGCAGCTGTGCAAAAAATGTATGGAAATCCAGTAGTTCTATAACGATTGATTGGGATACGATTGGATATACAACTGTGGCCTAGCATTCGTATCCGTTCATATCATACTCTTCAATATAATTTCCTTCATATTTTGTAGTAGTAAAGATAAGGCAAATTGAAAATTCAGCATTTTTTATTTTGTTTTATTCGATCTAATGTTTCGAAATAAAGAGAGATATCACTAAATTCCAATGTGTATTCACACAACGTATACTCATAATCATATTTACAGACATTTTCCAATCAAATTAAGGTTGACAAACATTTTTTTACGGACATTACTATTACAGTAAATATAACAATTAACATTAATATATGTATTGTATAATTAAATTATATTTTATATTTCTTTCACGATAATAGGCCTAGGCCTATATTTGTCTAATATCTTTTTTAGTAAAGAAGGTAAATATATTAACGAGTACCATATGACCGATTTGAACGCAAGGCCTACTGTAAAGTATACCGTATCCCAATAAATTTGTATAGCACTACTGGCGTTCCATACACTTTGAGCGCAGCAGCTTTCCGAAGCGGCCGCTTCGGCTCTAATCCGCCACTAGCCTAGGTAGCTAGATACAAAACCGATAGAGGGCGCTATAGATCGTCAACACAAACATTGTGATAGAAAATAGTGCCCTGACGGAGATAGGATATCCAATGTATTAATTTGGTATTTCGCGGAAGTATACAACAATTTGACCAAATTACTTCCACATAACACTACAGAAATGATTTCTGGACCAAGTTATTGGCTTTTTAAGCACGCAAATCGATTTAGTATTAGTTTTTTTAGTACAACCAATGTTTCGTCGATTTTCAATAATAAAAGGAAACCTTCGCTAGTTTTTTGGTTAACATGTTTGTTTTCTTCAGTTTTTAAACTATAAAGATAAGTAAGTTTTAAATAATATTTGTGAGCATATTATTAATTGAAATAGATGGCATAAAATTCTATTGTCTTATCATATACCGCAGCTAGGCTCGGTTCGTACGAATAGAGGGCGCCCTCGTTAATTTGCGGCGGCTACACGCGGGGTAAACGATGTTTTCCCCGCTGGCCACCGTGTTGTCTGAGGCCTGCAATTAGGCCTAGAGTTATGCGATTCAATATAATTTATTATATGTAGAATCTATAAGTTGATAAAAATTATTAAATCTAATATAAATATATATACTAAAATACTAAATTATAATCGTTAGTAATTTTAAAATGCTTCGTTCAGTTATGTCTTTCTATTAAAAATAAATAAAAAAATATTTGGGACATTTCAATTTTTTTTTGTTTCTACCTAGCCTAGGCTAGGCCTACTAGATTTTTTAGGACCTGTTTTTGGTCGGTGGATGGCGTAATTGCAGGTGACAAGTTATTTGTATCGTACAAATGAGAACCTCGATATAACATAAGTAAGTTATGGTCAAAAGATTTACTTATTCTAATAAAGAAACACTAAAACCTAATGAGGAAGAATGTCTACAAAAAAAGTTACCTTCAACATAGTCGCCATCTTGATTTGACCTTGATTTTTAGAATTGTGCTTGGGTTATATACTAAGCTTTCTTAATTTTTATAGTTAGTACTTTATAAAAATATTTTGTAAATAAATATAAAATAAATAATTAAATCAATATTATATATTTTTTAAGCTAATATAATGTAATATCAGTAATATTTTTAATTTGTTTTCATATTAGAAAAGAATACATTACCAAAATGGCTGACGAAAAATTAACAGCAGTCGACATGTCTAGTCCACGGACAAATTCGGGTATTCCAGAAGCAGTTTTCGTAGTAAGCTTGTACTCATTTCTCTGTGGATATTTATTGCAATGATTAAACTATAGTTAAAGACTTAAGCTAGTCTGACTGAAAGAAGTTTTATATTTATGTACAGTAAACTCGTCGTACCGTAGGCGTAGCCTAGCCCTACCTAGCCTAGGGCTAGGCTAGGCAACAAGAGGCCTACATTACTGATGATGGATGGAACTGTTCCGAGCCCAGGGAATCCCCTGCCAAGACTCAAGAGGACAGGCAGGGGCACTGTAGGCCTAGGACCGTATACAAAAAGCCTAGGCTAACCTTGGTTAGAAGACCTAACCTATTGTAAGGAAAGTGGCCATCCAATAAACCTAACTAAACTAAAGGACTCTTTGCTTTGGGCGATTCTGATCTGATTTTAACAAACTTTTAGTTTTTTTAATTTTATAATGATTAATAATACTTAAACATTTTTTTTTTCTAACTTTAGGAGGATGTTGATAAGTTCATGTCACAGACAGAAAATGAGTCTGTGGAAGAAGTTCTACGTAGACTAGATGAGCAGCATCAGAAATATAAGTTTCTAGAATTTAATCTTATGCAGAAAAAGAGGAGGTGTGTTTAAAATTTCAAATAATACCTTGTAAATATAAAATTTATTAAAATAAATAAAGATCACCATTGCTTGAATTAAAAGAGCCCTCCAAATACAGTATTGACAACAATATTCCTATTTAAGACTAGCGCTAGTTAACAAATATGTAGTAACAATATTTTTCAGCCAGCTGTTACACTTCCACAGATTTTTTCAATTTATTGAGACATTTTATTTTGTTCCACTCAAGCATAACCCTAATTTAATCAACCAATAACTAACCACTAACCAGCACCAATCTTCATACAGTGGCATTATAAGCCTATTACTAAAATAATAATCATAATATTAATAATTACATAAAAGAAATTTAATTTATAGTGGATATGATAATTACCTAATAACCAGCTATAAATTATGTTTAGATCGCAGTTGGTAAACATGACAAGTATTGTGTTGTTTATTAATTATTACTGTATTTGCATTATTATAATAAGCAATATGTTGATGATAAACATGACAAGTATGATTGTGTGTGTTATTTCTCTTTTTGCCAGGTTAAAGACCCAGATGCCTGATATCAAGACAACTTTAGATATTGTGAAATACATGCACAAGAAGAAGGTCAGCAAATAACAATATGCAAATTGTAGTTTGAACTGCACTTGCTTGTAAGATCCGAGGTCAAGAAACAAACCTATGTTGACCTTGATACAGACATGTGCGGTTCAAAACACAAATTGTATTTCTAGTAATGCATATATATATTTCACATTTAAAAATCTACAAGTTTCTATAACTCATTGGTGGATATAAAAAAAAAACCAAGCAAAACAATTATACAAACAAACATAGATCATTTTTTTTCAAGTGCACATGCCACTTAGTTGATATGGAATTTTGAAAGCCTCAATTTCATGATTAAGATGATTAACTCTAACCATCCCACCAAGATTGTGACAATGTTCTTCATATTTGAATGAACTTTACACAAAGTAAAAGAATAAGAGTTTGCAGTAGCCATGGACTGCTGTGGATAATGATGACAAGGAATTTAATTTGTATGTACAGTATAAAGTAATACTAACCATTGTACTCATTACTGTACTTTATCTTCTCTAAGGATTCAAGTGATAACTTGCCAGCCCAGTTCTTGTTGTCGGACCAAGTGTATGCCAAAGCTACCATACCTCCAACAGATAAAGTCTGCCTCTGGCTAGGAGTAAGTCAGCGTTATATTCATTAAAATCAGGCATTTTTATATATTTTGTATGTAACAACTAATAAAAAAAATAATGATGTAGCAACCAACCAATTAACCAATCTACCAATAGTAAAATTGACTTACAAAAGATCTTACAAATTTTTAGCAAGTACAAAGATCTAAATTTATCTTATTTTAGATTTTCCTTTTTTCCAAATTTCCCTTCTTGTTTACTGAGTGTGTGTTTTTGTTTAGGCTAATGTTATGCTTGAGTACACACTAGTGGATGCGGAGAATTTGCTCTCAAAGAATTATGATAATGCTCAAAAGACATTGAAAGAAGCTGAACAAGATCTGGACTTCTTGCGAGACCAATATACCACCACAGAAGTCAGTATCCTTTTATAAGAAGTGCTTTGAGTTATGATGATGATAATAATAATAATAATAATAATAATAATAATAATAATAATAATAATAATAATAATAATAATAATAATAATGAAATAACTGAAAATGGGATAGATAGTTTTTATTTTTAACATTATTTTACGGTGGATCCTTTTAAAGATGTACAATCTTTTTTAAAGCTGAAAGACTTCATTAAAATTGCTTTAATACTTTGTATATTAGGTTTTATGTGTAAAATATGGAGAAGAACAGCATCCTTATGCTATTATTGGATGATATATCATCCAATAATTATTATTATTATTGGATGCTAATAGGAACAACATCCTTAATTATTGGATGATCAATTTATCCAATAATAATTATTATTGAATGATTAAAAATTCTTCTAATTATATCAGAAAGAACAATTTTCATCTGTTTGTTAAATCCTTAACGTTGGCTTCAGATATTGCCAGGGTGTACAACTGGAACGTCAAGAAGAATAAAAAACCAGATACCAGCTCATGATTCATTTATTCTTACAAGACTTTTTGCGGATAAAACAACTTGAGAGAAATGTTGCTTGTTTTAATTCTCATAATAGACCTCTGTATTGGGCATACTCGATACTCTTAATTTATGCGAATTAAAGACTATTCTTAATGTAACTTTTTTCTACTATTGTATATGCTGTATGTGATTCAGTCAACAACATGTTTAAGCATTTTTCTTATTGTATGCAGACAAGCGCGATGTCGAGTAAACTGTTCTGCTTGACCACTTGCTGATCAAACTGCTCTCGTGTGTGTGTGTGTGCCCGAATTTAGTTCTTAGGGAAGATAGATATTCCTACTACTACTTTCAACATTCAGGAATGTTTCTTGATGTTGAACGAAGTTTAGCCAGCCCAGCACATGCTTAGCTTTCTTCCATCTGTAACCCACAAAATCATAATTTCAACTGAAGATGTGGTTGTAATTTTAATACATTGTTATTAAAAATTGTTTTTACTGTTTATTGTTATTATTCTTATTATCATAATATTATTATTATTATGATCAATAAATATTGATCGCATACTTGCAAATTGGTGTCTTATTTATTGTATTTGGTGTGTTTACAGGTTAGTGACATAGTGTTGTTAGGTAAGCTGTTTTCAAGATTTAATGACACAAAAATTGTTTATTATTGTAATGTAAACATTACCCACAAGATTATGGACCACCAGTGGCAGACCAAAGAATTTGAAATAGAAGGGCCTAAGTTAAGGATGGACTTCCACAGATAGAAGGTCTAATTCCCTGATTCTTAATAGGCGGCCCATGAGTCAATAGGCCCACGAAGTAAATTATTCTGTCCTGTGAGAAAAAATAAAAATATAAGAAAATATATTTAAAGAACTTAAAGTACCATTCTATGAATATTTTTTTCAATAACGTGAAGGCCAAAACACAACACTGGGCCAATGTGAAGTAGGGGTGACCCCCACACAGTTCTAGAATTAATTCTGTTGCCAACAAAACGACAAACGCCACAAGATTGGTAGTCTTGGTTCAGCCAAATATGACAACAGATTTTTAAAAAATAACTTTTTCATCATAGACTTTTGTTGTTATAATTAAATCCGAGATTTCACAGGAAAAGTGTTTTTATGCTTTAAAGCCCTGGTATTTAGAGTATATATAGGATTGGTGAAATTATACAGGTAGAGTGTTGTGTACCAAACCATTAGCGGCGCTATGGTGGGGGGAGGGGAAGGGAGTTACAGCCCCCCCACCCCTCACCGTCAGGGAGGAAGCCACAATTCCTTTGGGAGGAAAGAAAAATTTTATATTTTTTACATATTAATAAAAAAAAGAGACTCTAAAATCGATTAAATAAGCTTTTGAAACCCCTAAATTGTCATGTTTTGGGGGGCTTCGCCACCTAGACCGGGCAAGTTTCGGCAGGTTTTCTGGCGACGCCCGACAACACCCACTTTTTTTTTTCTCGCCGGGGACATCAGCCTACCCATCTGGGACCTTGAACCCTCCGTCGGGGAAATCCTGGCTTCTACACTGTGCCAAACTATTAAGTTGAATAAACTTTGTATGACTAATAAAACAAATTACTGTGTTTTAAGGTCAACATGATAGAAAAAAAAAATATCTAACTGTACGTTGTTAAAATTCAATTCAATTCAGGAAACGATACCTCGCACACATGTTGCACGAAAGGAATAGGGGCCTAAGTTCAACCATTGTGTTGTCGAAGGTACTACAAAGTTCAATATCTTGACGTACCTAGACAATGGTCATGGCCAACGAATGACGCAACTTTTTGTACAGTGTTTGTATAATCCAAATTAAGGTAGTAGTAGTTTGGAGTTTGCAGACACGATTGTCCTGTCAAATCCTCCACTAACATGAAGTTTGATCAGGTACTTGAACATCTTGGAGAATTTGGACGATATCAAAAAATTATATTTTTTATGGTATGCCTTAGCGCAATTCCTTGTACATTCCATAGTATGGGAAATACTTTCTTGAGCGCTTCACCAGATCACCAGTGCCTGTATTATACGGGTCAACTGTATACAGCCTATGATGACCAAGCAAGGTGCTTATATCCGGCAGATGATAAATCTTATTGGAGCGAATGCAAGAAATACGCAAACTTGAGTATTACTAGACCGGCAGATTATGCGTGTACGGATGAAGATGTCGCAAACTATTCTGTCAGTGGTTGTGACAATGGCTGGATTTACGACACCAAATTTTATGATTCCACTGTTGTAACGGAGGTATAGGCCTACACTTATTTTCCTTTTATTAATAATTGCAAAGAGATAATAAACCTAACAATAATCCGTATTATAAATTTTAAAAAAGATACTGTATATATAAGTATATATACATACATATATATACTGTACACTGTATTTACCTTTCTTTGATGATTTTTACATAGGGCTTATATATATATATAATATATATATAAATACTGTCTCTTATACACATCTAGATGTGTATAAGAGACAGACTATAAACGACTCAATGAAATTGGTATATGTTTAGTTAGTGATCTCTTTTTATGAAAATGGTAAAATCATCCCTTTCAATGCATGGTTAGGAAAGGGTTTATGCACTAGTAACTATATGCATTGGAGAAAGATAATATCCGCAATACCAACACAATGGAAACAAAATATGAAATTGGGATTCTTACGAAAAGGGTATAAAAGGAGGGGTTTTAGTTAAAAGAAGACAAATATTTAGAATGTATGAGTAAAAAAATATATACAGAGTCCTAGTAGAAAGAAAATATCAAGCACCGAAATCTCAAGAAAAAATGCAGAAGCGATTTAGCGTCGATAGCGGCAAATGGAAGGGTATTTATATATTACCATTTATTGGCAACAGAACAATATGTCACGTGTTTCCTTTCCTTATTACAGTGGGACTTGGTTTGCGACAAGAACTCGATGAAACAATTATCCAAATCAATCGTATTGGCTGGAAAACTAGTAGGATCACTTATATTTGGACAACTTTCAGATATCTCAGGGCGAAGAATTGCTTTCCTAATATCAGTTGTTCTATCGGTATTATTAAACATTATTATTATTATACTTCAGTATTTACTGTATCAGCACACCTTTTTAAAAGACAACGACAATTTGTTGTCAAGCCACTGAAGTAAATAAAAACCGTTCTCTTTGGTATGATTTTGTCTAAGTAAATATACGATATTTTTTTTATAGGTCGTCGGCAGTGTAGCCACAATATTCTCACCTACCTTTTGGTGTTATTGCCTCATGCAATTTATTGTGGGGGTGACGGCATCCGGCATGTTCATAATTGCTCTTGTAATGGGTAAGTTGAAATTAAGGGTATATACGATTTTTGGTACAGGACTGATTTCTGTTTCAGTTTTAAAGCATGAGTAGGCTATTCGTCAATTATTGCCAATTATGTCTTGCTCTCACACAAACAACAAATGATGTAAACGCGTTTCCAAAGCAAACGCATAACGAAGTAGGTTAACATTATTAACGCAAACAAGATATTTAAGGAATATAAAAATAATTACCAAAATTGAAGTTTTTTTTTAATTTTTTTAGTATTATATTTAAAAAAACTCGGAATTACTTTATTTTCCAGGGGAATATGTTCAAATTCCAATCCGATCTTGCCGAACGAAAGCTACATTATATTTTTATCATCTACTAATTACCAATATACAGTTTTTGCATTAGTTTCAAAATATTTGATGCAAAAGTGATGCCTATTCTTAATTGAGGGTGTGGAGTATGGGGTGTCATCAACGGAGCTGATTTGGAGTACCGGGTACTGTACGTACAAATCAAGTTTTTGAAACTCATTTTAAACCAGAATTTTTTTTAGGAGGAGGGGGGGTTGCCAAGTGTATGCCAATTAGCGAACTTAACCACTATCCTACGTGGCATATCCATTAAACAACAACAGGGGACTAAATGAACCAGTACACCGCGGTAACCCCCTGGCGTCAGAGGTGAACTCAGATGACACAACGTAATGAGCAGAGATTGAATTATTGTAAATACGGGTTGAGGATTTTACAAATGTGTCGAAACATAATATAATAGTTACATGGGACAAAATACCTTCGTGGATAAGAATGTTAATTGTTTCACTTGTATATGTAGTTGGGGAAAATGTAACTTAAAGAAGTGGATGATGTCAATTGCTTAAGTATTAGACAATGTGCTGACAGTAGCGTACTATTGTTTATGATGTGTTGTATATATTATGCAAGGGCCAGTGTTTAATAAATTGTTTATAATTATATTTTATGTTAGGAACCGAGCTTGTCGGAGCATCATGGCGATCTTTTACTGGAATAGCGATTCAATATTTCAACAGCATAGGGAATATGCTGCTTCCAGTTATTGCATACGGTCTCAGAGATTGGCGAAAAATTGAGATAGTTTTTTGTGTAACTTGTTTCGTATTCTTCAGTTACTATTGGTATGTTTTCCCACAAAATACATAGTCATACTTGTTATGTTTTTTTTCTCTTTTAATATATCATGACTAGTGTTTATCTCATGTTCCTTACAAGCAATTTGACCAAAGATCAAAGTTTGTATAAAGTTTTTACTACTTTTGCAAAAATCACTTGTTTTGTGGGTCCACGTCACGTGGCGTAACAGGCGGGGGAAGCCCACCCCCAGCTTACGAAGGGGGCATATGAGGGTGTATTGAAATTTTAACAACAAAAAAAAAAGGTTAAGTAAGTGGAGTTGTGTGTCGTGACGTGTTAGGTTTGTCATGTTTCGTCGAGGTAATGAATGTCAGTTGTTCTCTTTCGTTTCAGGCTGCTTCCAGAATCCGCGCGTTGGTTACTGACAAGAGGCAGGGTGGAGGAGGCTAAAAAGATAATTCAGAAAGCAGCCGTCGTTAATAAAGTCACTTTACCCCCAAATTTATTTCAGAAATTGTTAGAGGTACGTCTACTTATAAAGATATATTTGTGTTTTGTTATACTTATTGCATCACACTGTGACCTTTGGGATGACGATAAGGTTTTTACAGTAGGCCTATTACTTGTGTTTTTGGGAAGTTTAGCCAGGGGCGGATCCAAAGATTTTCTGACCGGGGTTGGGGGACACAATATGAAGTCCACGCCGCCACGCCCACCTCACCCACCATGTTTGGTTAAAATAAGTGGTAAATAATCTAGCTATCGTTTCGCTTAATGCTGGATCCCCACTGAACTTGTGGGTGCAGTCCTTTTTTTTTTGCTCTTTTCTCTCTTTAACTCGAATTTGACACCCTCTTTTTTATTTTTCGGCTTGAATGAAGGGGGAGGGGAACGGGCCCTGAGCCCCCGCTGGATCCGCGCCTGTTAGCTCAAAAGCCGTATCTTTTTCCATAATAAAAACTTCAAAAACACAATCCTAAAATTTTTGGACAGGCCTATGTAAATTATAATATTTGTTTTTCGTTTCTGTAACCAGAAGAAAGATGACGTTATGACTAAAGAAAAGGTTGTCACAAAATATTCCATCATCGACTTGGTGCGAACACCTGTTCTACGAAAAAGATCGTGCAACCTATTGTTCAGCTGGTATGCCTATGATTTCTGTTTTCTTTATTAAGGAATGAATATTAGTAAAACTTGATGCAATAATTAATTTTACTGAAAAATATGTATTTTATTTTATTCATTTTTTAAATTTTTTAAATTTCAAATCAAAACTAACAGTGAAACTAAATCGTTACTACATGCTTAAAAATACACAGACAATATAAGAACAGGGAACAGTGAAATTGTAAATTTTGTAATTTCACAAACCGAAAGGTCCACTGATTAATCTCAGATAAGAAAGTATAATACATACTCCAAGTATTGAAATACACGCCATCGTGTTGGGATTCACTGTTCCCTGATAAGAAAGCGACACAGACAAGAAAAATTAAAAAGTATACTTCTGTATGAATGTTTGATGCAATAATTAATTTTACTGACGATTATTTATTTTATTTTATTTATTTTTAATTTTTTTTTTGTTTCAAATCAGAAACAAATCGCCGCATACATGCTTAAAAAAAACACAGACAAGATAAGACCATAGAGCTATTATTATTCTTATTAATTCTCTATGGATAAGACACATACAATTCGATAGGGAGCTTTGGATTTGTGTGACGAACGTAATCACTCATGCGTGACCGTCCTACCATAGGCTATGTTCACACACGCGGCGTAAGACTGGCGTGGCTTACGCTAGGCGTAAGCTAATCCACGGATTAAAATTGCAAAGTGTTCACACAAACGGCGTTCGTTAAATTAGTAGTAATATAGGCCTATGGGGGAATAGTTTTCAGTTTTAAATAATGTACGGGTTCTTAACTGTAGTAAAATTAACAGTGTATCATGAAAACTTAAGTCTGTGAATTGTTCGAAGTGAACTTGATTATTGTATTTTAAATGAACAATTTTACTTCTGATTTTTCAGCTAGCATTTAACAGTTGTTGGTGATGCAGGTTTTAATAGACAGTCTAAAGAGGTTAAAATATCTTACAAAACACAATCAACAAATCATATACCTTATAACTAAGTAAAATGCAATAGAAAAAGAACCCCTTTACCATTTCATTCATAGAGAGCACAGGAAAGAGACCAAAGTAGCTAATATATTGCAGTCGTGATTGGTCAAATCATGGAGGAAAGAAATGAGGTCAAATCATTCAAGCATCACTGGCGTTAGCTCAGTGGCGTTAGCTAATCTGGGGTCTGGGAACATAGCCTTAGAGAAATATTTTCTCTATGGTACCTACCTGGCGTCCTACTACGTTCTCTGCATACGTAGATTTAGCCAAATTGCGTTCCAGAATCTACTCAACGAGGTGACCTTAACGTTCTCGCATGCGCAGATGACTTTTCCCTACCGTCGTTGTGCAATCGAAAGCTGCTTATTACATGTAAAAAACGACGACAAATAAGAAAAATGAAAAGTTAATCAAAAAGTTTTAGAAAAGGAACTAAAGAACTACCCATCTTAATTTATAATTCTATATGAATGTTGCCCCACTAGTATGGTGATTATGATGGTTAAATTGGATACACATTTTCAAGTTATTTGTCGTGGTATTACTTGATATTTGTACTCTGATTTTTTTAAATTTTTTTGTATACCTTTTGTATTAGGTTCACCAACGCCATGTTGTATTATGGACTATCATTTCAAACAGAAAGCTTAGGGAGTAGCCCGTACCTATCGTTCTTCCTTGCTGGTCTTGTTGAGATGCCTAGCTACATCTTAGCGCAGCTGCTTCTAGATCGCATCGGCAGGAAGCCAATTCTATGTGGATACATGGTGTTTGGTGGTGTTGTGCTTTTAGCGACTATTGTAATCCCAGAAGGTCAGTACAGTATGTATATTGATGATGATGATGATAATAACGATGAAAATTTTAATGACAACGATAACAATAAATGTAACAGTTGAGGGGATGATGAGACGATGACGATGTCTATGATAACGATGATAATGATGTTGACACAATGACGACGGTGGTGGTGACGATGGCGAAGATGATGATAATGTTGACACGCTTTGTTCTGTTTAGACAACTTGAACTCTCTAGGAGCTCTCAAATTTTAAATTAATAGTTGTTTCATCAGGTAGCATCATATAGGACATATCGACACCAGGATATTTAACTTTTGTAAAGTAACCCGGACGTAGGCCGTCCGTGCTTTCCTCCGTACATTGAGAGGAGTAATGATGCCATCTAGGTTTTGGTTAAAAAGTATTTTGAATGATGACTATAATGATGACGTTGACGGTGATCCGGCCTAAACTATTAAAATTGATAAGTGCTCATTGGAATCTTCGCTTCACTACTGGAGCTGCCGCGACCTGGTACAATAACAATTACAATATAAAAAGTATAAATACGAATAGCAAAAGTAATCGCTGAGCAGCTTAGCTTAGTCGTCTAAGCTAGTGGTAGCGCACTGTATTTGCTGAAAGTTCTCTGCTTCATTTCTATTTGCTGCTGATTGTTTTTCAGCTAGAGGATTAAAACGTAAATAATAGCGCACAACTAGTCTTTAAGATGAGTCATTTAAGCTGTTGGCTCGTGGACAATGACCCCCCGGATCCCCTTTCGTTTTGGGAAAAATGTTGACCCTCACCCCTGCCATCCATGTGGGCTTGAGTTAAAATGTGCACGTCAAAATACGCAGTACACTCTTCGGAAAATAGTAGAAGATTGGGTCCCGGTGTAGTGCTGAATTATTCACCCAAAGGACCACTTACAATGAATACCGTAGGTTTTAAAACCAAAATGAATACAGCGCACATTTATGCATTTTAATTAAGGGTATGGCCCCAACTGTAAGTGGGGTGCGTTTAATTGTTAAAAAAGATCTTTTACAATGTCAACGGTCAGTGCTTTGCACTTAGCATATTATTATGTCACATTCTAGTTCAAAGTAATTACAATTTCTGTTTCAGAGGGATATGAAACTATATTATTAATATTGGTATTAACTGGCAAGTCGTGTGCATCGGGGTCGTATGCCGTCGTGTATCTGTATACGGCTGAACTTTATCCAACGCCAATTAGGTTTGTACATTAAATTTGAACACAGTATAACCAATCATAATTCTCAGTATGCTTACGTGCGTGCCTGTTTGACCGTGTTGATAGAGAGGGAATGTGTATCGATGTGTGTTTCACATTGTTCAATTATTATGCTAATACGTTGTATAGGCCTGTAGTTTGTTTTTTTGCCATGTTTTGGTTTCAATGATGATGATAATAATGACGATGATGTGCATATTCACCATCATCTATCACCACAATCACCACAGCCATATCAACACAACTATGTGTGCAACGATATTTATGTCATTATCAGAAATGTAGCAGTTGGAGCGTGTTCAATGATATCACGAATTGGGGCAATCCTTGCTCCATATATTCTGCTCTTCGGTGAAGTAACCTCTACAGCTGTATCTATGACGTTTTTTGGAATCATGTCATTTATAGCGGGTCTTCTGGTTGTACTTTTGCCCGAAACAGCTAACACCAAACTTCCAGAAACCATTAAGGATGCTGAACATTTTACCAGGTACACTGTTAAAGAATGAACAATAATATACGTATATCTCTCTATCAATCAGTAGATCGATCAATCAATCTATCAATCGATTTATGGGTTGGTTGGTCAATCAATCAATATCGATCGATCGATGAATCAATCAAGCAATCAAGTAATTACAAACTACAAAACCGTAAAATGTGTCTTTTAAAAAGTATATATAAAATATACGGCTGTCAATATATATATATATATATATATATATATATATAATATATATATAGGCCTATATATATATATATGTTCTTTGTCTTACTGTACTTGCAAAATTTAAACTTAACTTGTAACCTATTTGTGCCTTTTCATTTTAGCAGTATTCAGTATCACATTTTAATGGAAAAGTAGGCCGTTTTGTGCGCAAGTTAATTTTAGTCCATTTTTTATCCACAGTCCAAGAAACAATATAGGTGGAGATTCACTTGGGAAAACCAACACCAAACCAAATGAACATGGAAGCCGAGAAGAGACTTCTAAACTTTAATAACTGATTAGCGAAAATGTTATTATATCATCGAATACATATTCAGACCGATTTTGTAGACAGGTTTTGTAGTCTATACTCATTTCATATTTTTACTGAACATTTTTACTCATAGAGCAACCAAATTTGTTTTATTGCATGAATTTCATTGTTATTTTATTTTTATTTATAATGACCGCAATGGAAATGAGTTTAAATCGTTTTTAAACTTTTTGTGTTATCCTTGTTATATCCAGTTTATCTTCTTATGTTTATGTTTCACGTGTATGTATGTTTTGTGTGGTAAATTTTTAAATGTTTGTATCTTTGTGCAGATTTTATGGATATTAAAAAAAATAAAATAAAATAAAATAAAATCATAAAAAACTAGAGTTCTAATTAGGTGACGAAGCAATGCAGAGTTGTCTGTACTCAACGGATGACAGCCGTAGAAAAGCACCACCTTCAGGCTAATAGTAAACATAATTTTATGACAACCATAAATACGACCTTACTAATTATCAAAGATAATATAAAATATTAGTTATTATCACCTCCGCCAACGAAGTTGGCAGGAGGTAATGTTTTCGCCTGGTTTTTTATTTAGCTATTTATTTGTCTGTATGCATATTTGTTGTGAACAGCCTACAGCCGATATTTTTTATCAGAAATTCGTCAAACTTGGCAACAATGTCCCTTTACCTAATATCTAGAGCTGATTAAATTTTGAATGGTCAGGGTCAACGAAAACTATTTTTTAATTTATTTGTCTACAGCCTATAGTTTTAATCTCAAACTTGTCAAACATGGTCACAATATTCCATGACCAAAGATCTCAAAGAATTTAAAGTTTGAAGGGTAAGTGTTAAAGGTCAAGGTCACAATAAACAAAAACACGATTTTTTGAAACAGTTTTTATCAGAAATTTGTAAAACTTGGCCACAATGTTCCTTTACCAAAGATCTGGAAGTGACTAAATTTTGAAGGGTCAGGGTCAAAGGTCAAGGACACAATGATCAAAAAACTTGTATAACTGTTTGACCTATAGACGTGTGTGACACACTGCAAGGCTTGAGCTTAACATACGGATAACTTGGTTCTGTATCTCTCGAAAATGTTCCAACATGGCAATTTAGAGGGTTCAAATGCATATTTAATCGATTTTAATGTCTACTAATATTTATATATTTATTTTTTAATTCGTGTGGCAAAGCCACCTTTATTTGACACAAATGCATAAAACAAATCACAAATGTTAAATAAAAAATAAAACTAATTAATATTTACATTAAACAACATTGATTGGTTTTGAAATATATTGTCAGTGAACTCCATTTTTTAGAAATAAATATCTTTTTTTGCAATGAACCAAGGCAATATATTTCTCTATTCCATATTATTTTTTTATTTCAAGTTTTAAAGCATAGGCACATGGTATGGTGTCTTGCATTGTGCTTCGATATATAGTGTTGACTGCCTTCATTCGAAGATTTCTAATTCCAAACACACATAGTTCCTCTTCCTGTATTACAGTTAAATTACAAGTATTTTTAAGGCATTTTAAAACTTTATTTCCAAAATGACAACTAACAAGGAACAAGAAAAAAATGTATTCGAGTGTTTTCACAGGTATGTATTCCGAGTGTGTTCACAGGTATTGTTTTCCAATATACCAATTCTGAATAAAAATGATTTAACACCTAGAATCCTGTGAATGATTCTGTATTGAAACCATTTTAATTTAACATCATTATTACAACTGAAAGTGACATTTGACAGAGTTTCCAAAATATTTTTGTTGTTTGAAATTCCTATTTCTGCCATTTTCTTTATATCTTTCCTTATAAACCAAATTAGAACAAAATACCTCATACATTCTTCTAGACCCTTTATGGTCTTTTAAATTCACTTTAATATTAAACGGAAAACGTGATAAGTTCTAATCGATATTTAAAATTACTGGTTTATTTATTGAGCGGATCAACCCGTAATCAATAAAATTTGTATTGATATTAAATTTATTGGCAAATTCGTGCATAGTCAAAATGCACCATGATATCATTGACCGTATGGTCTAAGCCATTCCTTATAATACGGGGCAGTCAGCAACATAAAAACGATCATTAAGCCATATTACTTATTTAGGTAGCGGAGCCACCATCGATGTCATTGGAATCAGTAATGCAAACTAAATTTCTAAAATAATTGCACCATTCGCCGTTGAGCGTCAGTGAAAACCGTCTAATCCAGGTTATTTTTAGGGCTTGTATCTGACTCCCCCATATCAATCATGCGAAGCCCTCCTTTTGAATAATCTTGAACTATTTGATTACGGGCAACTCTATCAACACTATTCCATATGAAATTGAAGATCACTCCGTTATTCTTTTACAAATGTTTCATGAGGATTAGGCTTTGAGATCATAGGACATTTAATGACTATAGTTATTATACCTAAGAATGATAATTTTCTTCGAGACCATATATTCGTTACACTGTATAGGCCTACCCTGGGGATTATCAAAATGACTCATCAATACTGTCAGTGGCGCATCTAGGGGGTGTGCCCCACCCAAAAAAATACTCGTACCCCTCAGTCTCCCCCAAAAAAATCACAGTCAAGTAGTTAAAAATCACCTTATTTTGCGAATTTAGCTCCCGCCTCAACTGACAATCGAGTCCCCCGCCCCCACCCGCCACTGGATACTGTACAGAATCATACCTGCAAAAATACAACTATAAAACCAGGGAACAGTGAAACTGTTTCCTGGATAAAACACTATAATTATTCTAAGCAGGGAAGTTCTAAGTTAGTTTAGGTATACATTCAACGTTCATTTGTTTTTATGTGGAACGCCAAAAGTACAAATTTTAAACACAGTCGATTGATACGAATACGGATACGATCAACTTTATTGCAATGAAATTAAAAAGGGATTGCACAAGACGAAGAAAACAAAAGTAAATCCTAACTAATACATACAAAAAAAAAGCATAAATTACAAGTACAAATCTATAGTGCGAATTATATTAATTTTAATTTTATTGCGAACTGAAACGTTTTCCAAGGAAAATTATGGAAAGATTACAAGATATTTCTCTATATACCGATTAACACTACTGCTGTTTCATCTCATTTTAGTGTTTTCTAATTCTTATGTTATGAACAATTACAAGAAACTGCTTTCAAACCATGCAACCTGTCTTGTTTTAATGGTCATATTGTTCTTTTTTAAATCGAAACTAATCGCGACGACGTTCATACTAGAGGGTAAGCGAGCGAAGCTAGCTCACCCTCTAGTAATTATAATAAATCCACAAAGGAACGCGGTTCCATTGGGTAAAATTGGGTCCGCGCAAGGGTTTACCCCAGAGACTCACTGCTGTTCTTGTTCTACCAAAACTTTTAAAGTGTCCAGCGTCGCCAACTTTGAACGGACGTGCACGAAGTGTAATGCATATGTGTAATATGCGTGCATAAGCGTAATGCATAATGCAGAGGTGATTTCCAACAAACGTTCAACGCCCTTTTTTCAAGTTGGACCCCAAGATCCTTGCCGATAACAAATAACCGAAAGCAAATTATTATTATCCAATACTATTCTGCGTTGCAAGACGGATAATAAATTTATTGCAACAATGCAACCCAAGGTATTGAAGTAGTTATATCAAAAGTGACTATTCTGAAAATCTTGGATAGGCCTACGTTATTATATTCAAAGTACCATACACCACGAATTGAACTGTTTATGGAAAGTCTTTAAAAAGTATTGTTCCCGTCGAAATCCGTGTATGTTATTCTACAAACTGGTGCAGTACCCGGTATACCTTCTTGGATTTTCAAACAATTATTTGCAATAAATGTAATTAGAAACATTTAAATATTTAATTTGATTTGAAATGAGAAGGAAAATATTCTGATTCTCAACACGGTTTTTCTTTGCAACAAGTCTCTTAAATCAAAATTCAGTTATAATCATCATATTAGGTTAAAAATTCAAAGCCTTTTTCAAAACACAGTTTAAATAAAAACAAACTGATGATGAAATAATATGTAGTAATATTAACATCTTACTTGATATAAGCGTCGTGTCAAGGGGTGCGAAGGGATCAGCGCCTCTATGAACAAAGCTTGCGTCCCAACCAGCCCCCAACCCAAACTTGAAATTTTCGAAGCAAAAATAAATACGCGATTGAGTGAGCAACCCATGAGATTCATGACCGGCAATCGTCTTTCTCGCTCCAGAAAGATATTTTGTCAGGTCTGCAAGGATAACATTATGTATATAGTCTATTCACATCACACAGTATACCTACACTCTTTCAAATTAATTGGGAGGGACAAATCTGTAGTAAACATTTTGCCTTACACAGGCCCATCCCAAACGGTCAACTCTTTGTGTTTATTAAAGTAGTTGAGCATGGAAAATAAACTTACACCAGTTAAACACATACCTTTTCTTACTAGATATTGACAAAACCAATATTATAGTTGACTCACAAAGCTGCTCTGCTATTTGTGTGGACGTGTATAAACTTTCTTGCTTTTAAATTATGTTACAAATGTAACTGGTATGCTATCTATTAAAAATATCCAAATTATTTTATCTTATTTCGAATATTTATGAGGCAACACGTGTGTTTGATTTCAAACAACTGTAATCATCTGTTCCAAATGTTCATATTCTGCTGAGCATTGTTGATACTCTTTTACTTCACTCTCAAGTCTGTAATCCACCATGTAGCGTTCCGGTGCAAAATACTTTTGCCAAAGTGGAGTTAATAACATTGTGAAAGAGGAAACAAAAAACAATGCAGTACAGAGGTAGAGAGCTGGGTAGTATGAACCAGATGCATCATACAAAGAACCTGAAAAAAATCCAGTAAACAGATTTTTGGTATTTGTAGGACAGTTTAAAATATAGAAAATCATTTAAAATTATTCATGATTTGCTTTAAAAAAAAACTCTGTCCACACTATTAAATTTTCTTTGACAAAAAAACTATTGTATGCCCATATATAGTCATGAAGTGCCTATATATGGTCATGATGTGATGTCATCATGACCATATTTAGGCATGTCACAAGTTTTTGTCAAATGAAATCGGGACATGCTTAAAGCTCTGTCCACGCTGTCAAATTTATTGACAAATAAATATGACATGCTTACATATGGATGTAATATGATATACCATCATGCCTATAAAGCTACAAAACTGGCGGCTCTCAAAGATTTTTCCAACATATGCAACCCGGATGCTGGGACAGGAAAACAAGCTACCTTCTCAGTTCAAAACCATCCTGTATGTAAGAAAACTTCGTGACTTGCTTGTTTTTTCGTTCAGACACTCATAACTCAACACGGGACTGCGGCTCACGTTTTGGCTTTTACTGATATATTTTTTACGACCGTTCTCCCCCTTTCCTGGCCCTTTTCGTAAGTGTGGATACGTTACTGATATTCCTTTCAAAGTACCATACATAAACACTGAAATGTTATGTGGAGTTTTAAAAAGCAGGTCTATAGTTTCCATAATGTTCGAGTGACCCACGACCCCCTATTTACCGTTCCGTCGTTTGTTTAGGCTTAGGACTACTGGGTCACAAAATAATAATTTATAGTTATCAGTATTTGCATACCATGAATAAACGGCCCTGCAAGGTTACCAATGCCACTTGACACCATCACCACTTTTGCAGATGTTTTACTTCTGCTTGCGCCAAAAACTTCCATTGCAGATATAAACTGAAGTCCATTATACACGCCTCTAGGAATACCATAGCCTACAGGTACGCAAAATAACTAACCGATTGATTGATTTATTGATATTGATTAATTTATATTATTGATTGGTATATATTGATTAAAATTGGTGATTTTGATTAATATTGAACAATTGATATCGTGATTGCTTGGTTATTACCTTAACCTATCAAAATGCAGTAAAATAACAAATATGAACAATGATACTTACAAACGGATATGAGAAATATTGCAAAGGTGTTCTTAGTCTGGGTCAGGGTTATGCTCAAAATAGATGACACCAATAGACTGACTGGTAGGCAATATATAAGCGGAAATGAAATACAGGAAGCAAAAACCATGATTACAATTTTAGCAAATACTTCACCGCAGGCAATTAAAGTAATTCCCGTTGCACTCTTCTGGTCAGTTAGTCCTATAGATTCAAGAAAGCTAGCCTACATTTTTGTAGAAAAACAAACATTTTTATAAATACTGATTCTGTTGTATATGCATTGGTATAGAAGCGATACAGCCATGTGTCTTTTACCTATGTTTCTGCATAGACTATAGAAATAATTAACATTATAAATTATAATCAAGTCAAGATGTTGTATAGGCCTAGTTAATAGTCTCTTTAATAATTCTCAATATTCGAATAAAAGTGGACGCGCTATAATTTAATTTGTGTTTTTTGTTTAATTACATAGAGAATATCAGCTGCGAATTTGTATTTAATTGTTTTTAAAAAAAAGCTTAACAATTACTACTTCATAGAAATATATACCAAATCAATTAAAATGTATAAAATTGGTTCCAGATAAATTACTTCAATCAGTCACAACTCCAACACAACCATAAACAACAACGCAACCACAGATACAAACACAGCCACCACCGCCACCACAACTATACATTTACCGCGAGGTGAGGGAGCAGCTTAGCTCAGTCAGCTAATCTGGTGGTAGCCACTGTGTGTGCGCTGACCCGTGGAGATCTCTAGGTCCCCGGTTCAATTCCACCACTGCCTCTCCTTGTGTTTCAGCTGGAGGGCTGAAATACAAGTTACAATTTAGCGCACCGTCTTTCGTATGCGACGTTTAAGCCGTTGGTCCCGTGTGCATTAATGGCCCATGTGCACGTTAAAGAACGCAGTACACTCTTCAGAAAAGAGTAGGGGATTGTCTCCCGGTGTACCGCCCATTCACTATCAGAAAGACCCCACTGGAAATAAATCCTCTTCTTGACTTTCGTGGGCTATCCATTTTGTTTACACGGAATAAATCCAATCCAATCCAACCTCTGCAAACATAAATAAAAGAGAAGTGGCATTCCAAATTTGGACTCACCATGTTTACATATTGAAATACAAGAGCAACCGAAACACAAAGAGTTGATAAACTAAACAACCAGAACTCTGGGAAGCAAAACAAGTGCCCATTGGTTGGTCTTTTGGAAATTCTCTTTGTTTTCTCGTCCAGGACAACAACACATTGTTCATCAGTCTTTGGAGCAATATAGAAAGTACAACATATTATACCAACTATTAATAGTATGCCACAAAATATTCGAAACGTCCATCTCCAACCAACCTGGTCCAGGATGTATTCAATCATGTTGCTCATTGATAAATTGCCTAAAATAAATAAGAAAGGAGATGAATTAACTATGTTAAATAAATATTTTATATTGATGCTTTATAATGCTGTCGGTTAAAAAATTGCATATCAACTGAGTTTGTTTTTCGTTTACTGTTGTGTTTGACTATTTTTTTCTGGTTGAACAAAATGAAAAAAAACAAAATGAAAAAAATAAATGAAATGATGTCGAGTATTTACATTACATACAAATATGAATATAAAATATACTTAGAACTTGAATAGGCTTATAATAAACTTAAAGCATTGCAAATTGAATGACATTTATTTTATATTGTCAAATATAAAGAAAAACGGGCGAAGTTAAACGATGAAAAAAAAAATAAAGAAAATTAAAACACTATAAAAAGAGAACAACTAATGGTAAATGATAACAATATATTTGGGTTACTGAATTTTCATTTACATGATTGAGTATGTACATCTTACCAACTGTTGCTAAGAGTCCCAGTAATACCAAAGCAATTGCCATTTCTCTTTGTTTATCTTGAAATAACTTGACTACAAGGTCAAACGCCACAATCATAGTTATGTTGGAACTCAATCCATAAAAGACTCCATATGAAATGATAACGTATACTATTGTTGGAGATAAGGAGCAAACAAAAAGTGACGCACTTCCGAGTAGAACAGCGATGATGCCTACCTTGCGGTGAGATAAATGGCGAAGTAACCATGTTGAGAATATTGTGCCGAAGGAAAATAAACTATAGCTGATTGACCCAATCCAACCTATTAAGAAAGAAGAAAATAATTCAGTAATAGTAGGCCTACTATATGCTATATTCAGTTTGTTTATACGAAACTTTCACGAGGGTTGTTGCTAGAAAAACAGAAAAAAAGCTTCCAGAAAACAAAGCAACTCATTCTAGCTTTTTCAATACTTTGAGGCTCACGTTCATCGTATACCCTGAGCTAGACTAATGTATCGTAGTGCCCGGGTATTCAACCTTTTGAAGTTGGTGGTCAGTTCTAATCAATTGAGACCAGCGGCGGCCGACACAATTAATGTGTAATTCGAAAAATTTGACAGCCCCGCCCATTCTATTTTATGGCTACAAGTCTTCCTAATATATGCTTATTATAATGTAGCCTTTGATTTTCAACATGAACTATGATAAGCATTACCAGCGCCAGAAATTCCCGAAGAAGGAGTCCGATATCTGTAAAAGTCACACCATGGTGGGGCTGAGGTGAGCAAATTTTAAAAATAGACACCTCTAGATTCCTGGAAAATGGCACTCCCATACTGTAAAAATACTTATTCAAAACATTGTTTTCAACAAAATGACATATCTCCCGAGCCTGCTTCCTGATTCCGCGCCAATGGTTAGAAATATCAACCCTCTCCTTATCCTTTACACTCATCAGTCTCCCCCTCTCTATGTCATTACTCTATGCCACTAGATACAGTAAGCTACACTTAGAAAAAGCCAGACTGAGACTCTTGTTAACACTGCCAGAGTAGGTGGTCATCATGTTTCTATTGAGAGAAAAACCTTTTCATAACTACTGAAAATCGGCCTGAAAAAATTATATATGTTTGCATGTCACATGGGCTGGATCTAAATATTTGGCGTGTTGGGGGTTGAAAACCAGGGTCATAGTGGTCCCCACTCGCATGACGTGGAGTCAATGTTAATGATGCTGATGAGCAGGGTCATTGTTACGGTTAAACATTTGGTGGTATATATTTGTGTGACGTGTCTTCATTGTTATCGATAAAAGGGATAGACATAATTATGTGGGTGGACAGTCATCTGTCAGTAATAGGCCTAAGTAAATATACAGCATAGGCCTATAATATTGACATAAAAGTTTGTTGTAAAAAAGGAATTTTCTTACCTGTTAGTGCAACATTACTTTGAAACTCTACCTGTAGTTTATCAAAAAACAGTCCAAAATTATATAAAAATCCAATATGTACAAATCCGAGAAGGGAACAAAATGTTGTTTGGATCCATGGTTTATACTTCGAGTAGAGGCCTTCACGATGATCACTTTCTTTACTTTCAGCAAACTTGTATTCTGATGTGTGACTCATGATGTTTATTCACTTCGAGATCATTAACTCCACCTGCTGTAGGTGAATGATATATTACATGAAATGTAGTATAGGATGTTAACAAATTTAAATAGTGACTATACTTATTTTTGTCAAGTTTTTGACTAAAACTACTACTGTCGCCGGCTACCGGTACTATGAGGCTCAATTTCTGCTGCAAGATTTACTTTAAACGGAAACCATGAAACTAATTTAATTATAGAGTCATGAAAAATAGAGTATAGAAACATGAAATGTAAAAGCTACCCTTCCTTTTATTCAAATGCAGAGCTATGATTCATAACATACGTAGCAAAGTTTACAGTGGCGGATCCAGGAATTTGAAATAGAGGGGTTCTAGAGAAGCATTTTCACAGATGGAGGATCTACCTACCTGAGCCCCACTATGGGAAGGGCTGAGGTAAGACAATTTATGACTATGGCACCTCTGGATGGCCGGAAATGACACTCTTAAACATAAATTTGAGTAGAATATTTTTTCCCCAAATTTTTAAATTTTGAAAAAAAAAATCGAGGGTGGGGATTGGGCCACCCCTTAAATCTGCCACTGGTTTAATATATTCAGGATTTATTTGACAATAGAATATCTATCAGGTCTATTCGCATTTTCTACCTTGTATGTATATTGACGATGTCCAGGCCCAAGCATTCAAAAATTATTCATGTATTTATTTGATAATCGAATATCTATCAGTTCTATTTGTATTTTCTACCTTGTATGTATATTCACGATGTCCAGGCCCAAGCATTCGATAATTATTAATTAATAGCGTAAAGAAAAGTGAATTACGAGTTCACCTATAAACGGTCAGCTTTACAATTCTCGTGGGAAAAACATATGAAATGAAACTGGAGGAATGTATACGATTAATAATTAAGAGACAGGCTGTAGGTGAATGATATATTACCTGCAATGTAGTATAGGATGTTAACAAATTTAAATAGTGACTATACTTATTTTTGTCAAGTTTTTGACTAAAACTACTACTGTCGCCGGCTACCGGTACTATGAGGCTCAATTTCTGCTGCAAGATTTACTTTAAACGGAAACCATGAAACTAATTTAATTATAGAGTCATGAAAAATAGAGTATAGAAACATGAAATGTAAAAGCTACCCTTCCTTTTATTCAAATGCAGAGCTATGATTCATAACATACGTAGCAAAGTTTACAGTGGCGGATCCAGGAATTTGAAATAGAGGGGTTCTAGAGAAGCATTTTCACAGATGGAGGATCTACCTACCTGAGCCCCACTATGGGAAGGGCTGAGGTAAGACAATTTATGACTATGGCACCTCTGGATGGCCGGAAATGACACTCTTAAACATAAATTTGAGTAGAATATTTTTTCCCCAAATTTTTAAATTTTGAAAAAAAAAATCGAGGGTGGGGATTGGGCCACCCCTTAAATCTGCCACTGGTTTAATATATTCAGGATTTATTTGACAATAGAATATCTATCAGGTCTATTCGCATTTTCTACCTTGTATGTATATTGACGATGTCCAGGCCCAAGCATTCAAAAATTATTCATGTATTTATTTGATAATCGAATATCTATCAGTTCTATTTGTATTTTCTACCTTGTATGTATATTCACGATGTCCAGGCCCAAGCATTCGATAATTATTAATTAATAGCGTAAAGAAAAGTGAATTACGAGTTCACCTATAAATGGTCAGCTTTACAATTCTCGTGGGAAAAACATATGAAATGAAACTGGATGAATGTATACGATTAATAATTTTTATTTACTTTTTTTTTGTATTATTTTAACCTAGTTATCCCGGGCCCATGCCGGGCACGGGCGTAGGGGCATTTACCTCGGTTGTCCCACAAGCGCCACTGGTGGGCCTCTTCGTTGTTGGGGCATTTGGACCGCAGCACGAGAGCGCATTGATGATGTTATTAGCCATTTCTTGGTATCGTTCCCTACACACCACGAAGCAAAGTTTTAGCACCAAAATATAATTATAAGCGGAGGAATTAAACGTTCGAAACGGCGAGTCTTGCATTGTGTTAAATTCTGGATTAACAAGTATAGTAGCAATCGATATTAAAAATTGATTGAGACTCTGGTAAAAACAAACCAGGCGAATCAGTTAACGATCGCCTAAGATATCAGGGGATTAACATAATAAAACTTAAGGGTCCACTGGACTCACTGAATCTTCAGTCACTACAACAACTGTTTTTATTAAAGTAATTAAAATTACAAAGAAACATGAACGGTTAAACAATACCTTTTCCTATTTTGGCAGATCCAATATCATGATGAGCCTGCAAATATATTTTCTGTTGTTTGTGTGGACTAAAAAGCTCAGCAAAAGCATGTGCTCGGAGCACTAGCATACAGTATCTTTGACTCTAACCTTTGTGTTATTGGGCGTATTCGACTGGTTCATTTCGTTGACTACGATTTTTCGTTGAGTATTATTTTCCGATTCGACTGGTTCGTAAAATAGACTTCGTTGACAACGAAAATTAACGTAAACCGGAGTGCGTTAATCAGCGTTTAGTTATCCACGTGACCAAAAGAAACAACGTTTGCGTTAATATTAGTTAGATTAAATTTCAGAAAATAAAAATTATAATATTTACCCACATGAAGTCAAAAAATAATTGTAGGCCAACAGAATTCAAAAACTGGATGAAAATATTTTTTTTAACGAAAAACCCATACTGCCACAAGCTGAAGCAATCTTGACTACGCAGCGTGTATCGCGGTAACTATGAAGTCATTTTGTTTTGTCGAGTACTTACAAGTTTTCTATTCGTCTTTGTTAAGTAGGATTTTACCGCTGCGCAGGTGGGCGGGTTTAACGAAAGAACAACCAGTCGAATACGGCCATTTTGTAGTTAAGAACGCGCAAGAGTATCAATAACCACCAAATAACCACGAAGTTACTGTATTTACAAGAGGGCGCGCCACAAATCATTGGACAGTCTGTAGGTGATATCAAGGCCGGCGATTTAATAGTGACAATTAATAAATAAAAGCCACAATACCATGATACGATATAGAAATCAGTGGTGGCGCCAGCAGGAGAGGGGCAGGGGACACAACCATTTGTCGTCTGGTGTGTTTCTTTTCCAGGCGATGTATTCAAACTAGCGCTAGATACGATCAGATACCTCGCTGATACGATGGGCCATCCTTGGAAATGTCAGAATAAATGACAAGAAAGCAATAGGGTTGAAAATCTGAAACTATTAAAAAGTCAATGATTTGTTGGTTAATACGATGATCTTTGATGGTAATGTTTACTTCTTCCTCTTCCGTCTGCTTAGCACGTTAAAGCCAGATACATTTCAGAATTCTGTTGGGTGTGGTGATTCAAAGTAATCCTATATCGAGTTATAATGTGCAAAATAAAATTTAATTCATCAAGTACATTTTAGGATCGATATAAAAGTTAGAATCTTTGGCAGAATAATTGATCTCTTCTATTACATTATGCTCAATGTCTTCATATCATTTGGCTGCTGCAGGTTTTTGACGATGTGGCCGGGAGGAATGAATGAAAACTTTTGTATGGTTGATAGCCTTTTATCAAAACATAACTTTTTTGTGTTTTACCTGGTACGGTACTTGAAGAAGAAATAGGTCTAAAATTCCATTATGTTTATACAAATGATAAAATGCGGGTGTAGTGAAAGTTCAGCAGATTTAACTAGTATCCACTATGATGAGATGATCAATGAAGTATAAAAATTATTATTAGGCCTATTACTATTTTATACCACCATGATCTGACTAATGTATCATCTCTGACCACTTTTAGAAGCGTTAAGGCCAGGACACCGGCAAATACTCAAATTCTTGCCTAGCAAATTCTCATTTTAAACTTCCTAACAGTATACAACTAATGTTAACAGTATAATGTTTTATATCCTATAAAAAAAAAAATAAATAAATAAATAAATAAAATTTAATAAAAAAAAAAGGATGACCGTATACCATTTCCATTTTTAAAATATAAAACTAATAGCCTACGGATACAGGAATTGGTTTACGACTGGTATATCAATAACCACAAAGTTATTAACATTGCGGTGACAGGATTAAAGTAACAAAAAGGTATACTAACAATACTGTACACGCAATAGAAATAAAAATAATAATAGTAATAATGGTGGACTTATAAGGCATATTGTCATGGCGTCTATGCACATCACAATGAAAAAATAAGTTTAAAAATATAAATATCAAAATAATATGTGGCTAATATACTCCTACTCCTTAAACTAAGTTATGTTTGGTCGTTGACGCCGAAGAGCTCATCCTCCCTTTGTTCAGCTGTTGATTTTTCTTGCTGCTGGGTGACCATGGCACCCTCCCCTCTCTAAGACACATCTGAGAAATGTGGATGGTATAAAATCCATAAACCATTGCCACTTGGCTAGTAGGCCCTAGCTAGGGCTACCATAGATAGTAATAACCTAAATATTTAATTCAAATAACCTAAATATTTAATTTATGTTTTATGCTTGTTAATCCTCAGGCGGCCTTCTTTATTTTATTACTTCTTTATTTTGGCGTGTTTTTTAATGTTTCTGTTTGTTTATTTGTAAGGACCACAATGGAAATAAGTTGCCAATTTTCGGCAATTTATTGTTTTTCTATCCTTTAAATATGTTTCTTGTCATTGTTTTATGTATATATTCAGAATAAAGATATTTTTATAAAAATAAAAAAAAATAGTGGCCTAGCTAGGTTGTGTTCTGTGGTTACAGTATTTCTTTATCGGATTGTCAATGCAAGATACATACGTAAGACGAGAGCAACATCAACTGTTGTCTGCGATAATTTCATAACAACTCTCCCTGTATGATGAACTGTAAGCCGCTGATAGTCAAAATAGAGGCTTTTCTCATTATTTTCCATTTTCATAGCCGATCACCCTTTAGCTTGAGTTGAGCAATTAAAACAATTACGCGAATGCGCATGAAGATGCCAACGTTATTATATCTCTCGGACTACCACGGATAAAATAGAGTAAACGCTAACTGAAACATCGCATGCGGCTTGATTGTGTAAAGAATTTAGGTTTTTGCGACAATACTAACTTCTTGAGAAATGGAGAAATCCTCCATCATCATCATCTAGCAACTGACGGATATCATCTCTCAACAAAAGGAACCAGCCTACTTGCAAGTAATTTTAAGTGCAAAATAAAAAAGAATATTAAAGACCCGCACATAAAGCAGATGGTATCAAATAGTACATCAATGATATGTATGTAATATTATACTATTTAACATATTGCTATTATTAAGTATCTATTTACCTTTAACATAAAACATGGAAACGCCAAACAATATTTTAGGCCAACTATTATTGATCCCTTTAATGTTAGCCCGGTTAAAAATAACCAAAACAATAACAAAATACAAGATAATGATATATTTCCATTCCAAAAACTAAAAGATATCGATTTCCTAGAAATGGTATAAACAATCAAATGACCGAAGGCTTCCATTAAAAAAAAATCACTGAAATCACTGGAAATATAAGTTTTAATCCGATCACTTAAAAAAATAACAAACATAATACTGGTAATTAACAATATTTTTCTCAAATAGTATACTAGAAAAACATTGAAATATAAATATTTCAATGTCGAAGAATTCAATAGCGAGTTATGTTACTCGCAGTGTAACATAAACCACTTATCAATGTTTCATATAAATGCACGCAGTATAAATAAACATAATATTGATGAAATAAAAAAAGTCTTAATTTATTAAAACATACATTTTCTGCAATTGGAATTACAGAAACATGGTTAAACTAAAATTTATACTTACCAGACCTGCAAAACTGTGATTTCTTTCATGTAGATAGGAAAAACATAAAAGGGGGTGGTGTAGCATCTATCATGAACTTATGAACGCTATTGAAAGAATCGACATTCAAACCGAAAATAATAGGCCTATCTGTGAAAGTTTATTAAAATTACTAGTGAAAATTAAAAACATCATAATAGGAATACAGAGCACCTGACTTCTCTGTATTTTCAACGGAAATCTAAAATCGAGGTGCGAAGCACCTAGCGGGAGTAGCGGGGTGAGTTTGGGAATTCCTCTTAAATTTTAAAGGATCCCCTTCAATAATATTAAGTTTTAGAGGCCGTAATCATTTATTTTATTTATTACAATTTACCGCTACCTATTTCACAAATCACTACCAGTAACAAGTCGCATGAACAGCCTCGTTCGTGTCTGTTGAATACATTCAATGTTATTTTCTTTCATTCAGGTATACTGTATGCTTCGTACCATGGTACCATGCAGTAACATACAGTACTTTCTGAAAGCATGTAGCCGATTTCTAATGCAATTGAAATAACAGCACGCACATCTTTGTTTGATATTAAACTTATTGTACACGTTCCCGAATCACGTAAGGTGGTCAAACTCCATCAGTACGTTTTATTTTTTGTCAATAATTATACCGGTACTTCATCAGAGAAATGCACAATATGCCCTAATCGATAACAAATATATACAGTATGACCAAGGCTGTCTCTAAGTCCGATCAGGTGCCTTTTAGGGCCGGACAATGATCTTCCACAAACAAAGGGCCCGTCACCACCTCGCTACGCCGTTGGAGGGAAGGGGTGGCTAGACACCCTATTTACCCTCCCTACACCTAAATCTGCCACTCAGCCATTCACTTAGTGTTGTTACATCTATAAAACGGTTAGGCCTATCAAAACAAATTTAGACGTTTAGAAAAACATACCATAGTCCAGAATTTGAATGCAGTCTGCCACTCTTATATTGAAATTTCATTTGACTTTGCGTGATAATTTTCCTATGGAATTGTGGTCCATTTTACATTTAACATGTTAGGTTTTAACGCGTCGGTTGCTAAAATTATATAGTAATAGTAATTTTTACCTATGATTTTAGTACAATATAATTAGCCCTTTAATGCTGTTGTACTGTTCATAACTATGTTTGCTAACGTGGCGCTGATTTAGTATACACACATACCCACATCTATATAGACACGTATTATATATTTATTCACATTAGATTCATCCCAAAGAAATGCTTATTCTACGTAAAGTACATTGCCAGTACCTAGTAAATAATTCAATTAGAATACAACTGTCTCATGCTTGAACAGTTTTTACAACTCATCGCCTTTGATGCAATTTCTCAAATTAATGTTTAACTAATCGGACGTAATAAACGGTTGCTTGGCCATACATAGACAATCATTAATTACCAAAATTGACATCGAAGCCTTAACTCTCAGTAAATTTTATTCAAATTATTGACCACCAGACCATTGGTTCTCTGTGTGTGTTGTGCCTTGCTGCACAATTTTACAAACAATATAATGCAATTACTGGTCTAATTATTAAAGCCCCCTCTTTAATTTTCAAAAGTAGCCTCGATAGAAGGGGTTTTTTCGGCCTACATACACTGTAAATGAATTTCAATGAAACCCAATAAATAAATAAATAAATACTAAATTAAAAACAGGTTCGGTTTATACAGTTTAGATGATTTAATGCCGGTATACAGACGGATGTTACAGTGGCCCTATTTATATTGTTTGATAGTTGTACATTCCAAAATTTACAGCATTCATTTTAAAAAGAAGCCCCCTCTTTACTTTGCAAAAGTAGTCTCGAAAAGAAGCCCTTCCAAAGTTCGCAAACAAAAAGAAGCCGAGGGTTTCAATTCGAGGTTTTACGGATATTTAATGTTTATATATACTCATACGTTTCGTTTTATCAATACTGTACATTAAAAAAATGTTTTAAGGAGACAAGAGATTTAAACTGATTAATAATTTGACTTTTTAAATTATTGAGCACCTTAATTTCTATATTAAAAATAATTATATAAGAATTTTGCTTGTCCTACTGAGGTACTAAACAACAGATATCATCTGTTCATATACAGGTTCTGTTGACTGGTGTCGATATTCTTGTGCAGCGTTCTGAAGTCTATAATCCACCATGTAACGTACTGGTGCAAAATACTTTTGCCAAAGTGGAGTTAATAACGTTGTGAAAGAGGAAACAAAAAACAACGCAGTACAGATGTAGAGAGCTGGGTAGTATGAACCAGATGCATCGTACAAGGAACCTACAGTCAATATGAAAAAAATAAAAATAACCTTGTTTTATATTTCTGATTTATTTCCAATCAGATTTTGCTATCAAAAAAAACCAATAAATAATCTCACTACTAAAATAAATCAACATCAACACATTGGGCATATTCGACTGGTTCATTTCGTTGACTACGAATTTTCGTTGAGTATTATTTTCATTCGACTGGTTCGTAAAATAGACTTCTATGACTAAGAAAATTAACGTAACCAGAGTTAATTATAATATTTACATACATAAAGTCAAAACATAAGTGTAAAATGACAGAATTCAAAAACTGGATGAAAACGTTTCTTTTACGAAAAATCCATACTGTCACAAGCCGAAGCAATCTTGATTACGCAGCTTGTATCGAGGTACAGTAACTATGCAGCCATTTTGTATTGTCAAGTATTTGTAAGTAAGTTAGTTCTCTATTCGACTGGTCGTATTTGTTAAGTAGGATTTTACCAATGCGCAGGTGGGCGTGGTTTAAAGAAGAATACCGCGGCCTTTGCTTCTCAGTGTACACTCTGGCACTAAATCTCAGTTCCCATCTGTTTGATGGCTGTTTAGTTTAGCTCCAGTACGGTACATCAGAAACGATTGATGGGGTGGTGCTAGGATTTGTGCGATGGGGGAGGGGGTCCAATTTCCCCGACCAAGGTGGGAGAAGAGGGCGTCATCGAGTGCTGCTCAAAATCGTTACGAAGCAGTCAGGGGTAAGGCCATGAAAACTATGACAATTTAGGTGTTTCAAAGTTTTCTCATTTTAAAGTATACTAATGTGTTTAAAAATGTTTTTTTCATGACGGGCGGCCCTGGCCCCTGTCCCCCTCCCCGGCACTTTTGACTTACGATCGTCGTCTGTGAATCCATAAATTATAGCAAGTAATGTATTTTGTACATTTAAATGTGAGGATAACTCGTAAAACAAAACTTTTGCACATACCATGAATATACGGTCCTGCGAGGTAACCAATGCCGCTCCAGAACAACAGAAGATTTGCAGATGTTTTACTTCTGCTGGTACCAAATACTTCCAAACCAACGGCTAACTGTAGTGCATTGAATATGCCTCTAGGCATACCGTAACCTATAGAAAAAGTGCCAAAACAGCTTTGTTTAATGATGGTTAAATTAAAAAAACATTTGCGTATAACACCATACGTATGGCCTACATATTGAGAGAATATTTAAGAAATTATTAAGCATTACCCGAGTAGGCTCTAACGAACAAGGCACAAAAGAAGACAGATCATATCACGGTTCTGTAGCAGTGTACATCAGTTATATTTTACGAAGAAAAATTTTAATTGTTACCGCGCTAGCATATATATATTATTTTTGGCAAATGATTAAAAAAAAGGGGGATGGCGCCAGTGGAGGGGAACAGGCACTGTCGAGGAGAAGAAAATCACTTCGAAATTATATGTATTTTTTTTATATATATATATAAGTAGAATCTATGAAAAAAGCCTTTGAAACCCCAAGTGAATTGTTCTGAATTGATTTAATCAAGGAGATTCCTAAATGACCAGGGTTATCTAAATATGATAATGCAAGTGTAGTAACAGTGGCGGCGCCAGCTGGGTGGAGGGGGGGGGGGGAATTAAGCCCCCCCCCCGCCGGACAGAGCTTGTCGTGCATTCAGACCATAAACATATAAAAATAGGCCCACAGCAAGCCAATATATGTCTGTCACAGTCTCAGAGTGCCATTTCCTGCCATCTATACGTTGATATTCTTTAAAAAATCTCATATGGGAGGGGGAACCCCTCTTAACCCCTTCTCCAAGCTCGAGCCTACGAGCTCAAGTCCCCCCTGTTCGACAACTAATCCCCCAGAAAATATCCTAGAGCCGCCACTGTGTAGTAAGTGTTTTCGCTCCTGTAGCCTATTCAATTGATTATCAACGTCAACAGAATACTGATGGATACTTACAGAATGAAATGAAGAAAACTGCAAATATGTTCGTAGTCTGGGTCAAGGCAAAGCATAACACAGATGACACCAATAAACAGACAGGTATGCAATATATAAGAGGAAAAGAAATGCACGGAGCGGCCATGATGAACAGAACTTTAGCAAATGAATCACCAAAAGCACTGCACGAGATTCCAGTTGCACTCTTCTGATCGCTTAGACCAATGAATTCAAAGAAGCTAGCCTGGCATTGAAAGACAAATAAACTTAACGAAGAATTACAGCACGAGCAGAGGGGCCGAGAGATGAGCACGCAGGCACCACCACCCCCACCACAAAAAAAAAAAAAAAAAAAAAAAAAAAAAAAAAAAAAAAAAAAAAACATAAAAGAAAAAGAAACCGGATCTTTCCCCAGCATAAAATTGTATACCTCCATGTATACCTCTTTAGGAGTACCGTACCTTACCTGCTTTTCTCAATATTATAATCAAAATTATCGGCAGAATTCTTTGTTTAAATGGTAATTTGTCTTTCCCCCCCCCCCCCCGCCGCTGGCGCCACCCCTGTTGCAAAGGTCTTTCTAAAATGTAGCAGCATTCAGTATTACGGTTTACAGAAATAAAAAAGAAAATTCTCGAATTTTGAGTATAAGAGTGCCATTTCCGGCCATCTAAAGGTGCATTAATAAATTTTCTTACCTCAGCCCCAACTATGGTAGGGCTGAGGTATTGTAGCATGTACGGTACCCACCATCTGTGAAAGTCCCTCTCTGAGCCCCTTCTATTTGGAATTCCTGCTTTGCAGTTTGGACGACTTGGCTTCACAGACTAGTAATATAATGATAATTGGGCGGACCAAGAGGGGATGATGTTCGGCGACTCTCTAATAAGATGGGAAGAGTAACAATACAGAAGACGGACATTTAACACAAGAGTGCCTTTTATATTTCTGTATTCCTCCTGCAAATATGTGGACACGCCCTTAGCAATCATAGCCTCGCAAAATGCTAGTTAATTTTAACCACCATAATCATGAATAAATGTGAAGCCTTTTCTACTTTTTTAATTTCAATAGTTCCCCCGCAACTATCAAAACCATGTTTTACAATGTTGAAGAGAAAAAAAACATCTTAAAACTCACCATGTTAACATATTGAAAGGCCATAGCCACAGCTGCACTGACAGTTGCAAAACTAAATAACCAGGCTTCAGGAAAGCAAAGTAAATGACCACTTGGAGCTTTCAATTCTTTCTTTTTCACATTTTTTTCAACATTTTTTTCAACACAATTTGGAGCACCAAAGAAAGAGCAGCATCCTATACCAACCAAGAGTAGAATGGCAGCAAATATTCGAAACGTCCACCTCCAACCAACCTGCTCCAGAATGTATTCAACCAGGTTGCTCATAGATAAATTACCTACAATAATAGAAAAGAAACAATGGTAGGATATTATAAATAGCGTTCGTATTTATGTATAAATATACATAAATACCCACGCTATTAATAATGTCCTATCATGATTTATATATTAAATCCGGAACCTTACAGTGCAAGGAGTATGACTGATCGACTTTAGACGATTATTCACAAGAGTATAATATTTAAACAGTTTTTTTTTTTTGTTTTTTTTTAATACAGGCAGATTACCAAATGAAGACAAGACCTTAGAGACACAGAAAAACTGAATTTTTAACACCAGGACTATGTTGTAAGCGTACTAGATTTTATAAATAATCATAATAACGAGACTCATTTTTTTTTTCGTTTGATTAAACCTATTTCAAAACTTTAGCTACGCCACTGCGGAAATGGCACTCTCATACCGGTACTTAATTTTGAGTATGTTTTCTTCTTTCTTCATTTTTTTGAAAACATTTGGGGTGGGGGGGGGGCAGATCGGCTCCCACTTTGAAATCCAGCACTGGATTTATATATCAACGGAAATACGTTACAGCTTTTATAGCCATCTTACCAATAGTTGCTCCGAGTGTTACCACTGTCATTGCCCTGGCTCTTCGTTTATCTTCAAATAGCACGACCATAAAATCAAGCGTTACAAACATAGACACATTGGAACTCATTCCAAAAAAGATTCCGTATAAAATGATAAGGTATAGTATTTTGGGGGAGAAGGAACTGACGAAAAGCGACACACTTCCAAGTAAGACGCCGATGGTGGCGACTTTGCGGTAGGTTAGGTAGCGAAGTAACCAAGTTGTTAATATTGTACCAAATGTAAATAGACAGTAGCTGAGAGATCCAACCCAACCTGAAAGAAAATAAATAAAAGCAACTTAGATTTCATTATATTTTATACTTAGGAATTTTAATAAAATCATATGGTTTACAGAAATGTTCAGCATTTTTTCCTTACCAGTTTTTTTGCAAAGGCAGAGGGACCACTGATTAGTTTCAAAATACTTAAGAACAATACATATTCCAAGAAATGAAATACAAGGCATCGTTCTGGGACACGATGGCGTGCATTTCCTTTCTTCGAGTAAGGCCTATAATACTGTATATTATTCTTTCGTATTTTACTTGCATTAAATTTGAATTGCTTTATTAAATATAAAGACACACGGATTATGTGTAACTGTTTTCAGTAATGGTAGTTACACAGTAGATGGTAATACTGTAACAGGAAAGATATAAATACTAATGTTTACATTCCATTTAATCACTTAATTATATTTCATTATGGAATTGTAGACTTATGCTTGTAGCGTGTATTATTTGTTTATTAATGTCTATGATTATTTTTGTTTATAGCGTAAGTTATTATTTTACCTATTTTTACATGGCAGGCTTTTCATTGTTGAATACAAATTAAAAAAGACTAAAACAGGCGCTTTATAAATCATATTTGATATTTGTTTGATGTTGTTTCTGTCCTGATGATAGTACACAGAATTGTTTTTACCTGTTATTGCAACATTACTGTGGAACTCCTGCCGTAGTTTATCAAAAAACAGTCCAAAATTGTATAAAAACCCAATATGTATGAATTGCAGAAGAGAACAAAATATAGCTTTGGTCCATGGGTTATGCCTTGAGCAGTAAGCACGTACACGGCGTCTACCACTTGGTACTGCCAAATCTGACTTATGATCCATACTGCGATCAACTTGAGGAAAACGATTCTGCTAGTAAATGCATTCTTCTACCTGAAAAGCAGCATTTAGAATTAGAGTGTTAACTTTGTAAAGAACAAACTAGAATAATAAATGTATAGGTGTAATTTTGCCCTACCTAATAGGCCTACACGAAAAACATATCATGTTTAAGAACAGATTTTAAGGTCGGTTCCGAAACCTTCATTTCATTTTATTTTCATTTCTTAAGGCAAGAGCACAAAGGATGTGCAAATCGGTGAACTTAATCACTATCCTACGTGGGACTGAATGGACCAGCACACCCCCTATTCTTCTCGAAGGGTGTACTGGGTTCTTTAAAGTGCACGCGAGTCAAATACACTGGCCGTACGGCTTAAAGTCATTATCAGAAGACTTGTTCCACCATTGGTGAGAGCCCCTGACTTAACCTCCATTAGACCTTGATTATTGGCTGATCCCTTGCATAAACCGCTCGGATGAACTCCATTAGACCTTGATTATTGGCTGATCCCTTGCCTAAATATACAAGGTTTTCCCCTCTCTCACTCCCTACAAACTTTATTAAGCTATTGCTCAGTGGAGTAACGATGGGGCAAAGGGCTCAGGAATCCCTCCTACAAAAATGTATCTATTGCGCCA